GCAATAAAACTCCTCGGTGTCGACTGCTTATTATTTTACTAGGGGATTCGATTACTTGCAACTCCACGAGATCGAAGGCCATTATTTTCAGCGTTTTGTCCAGCTCCACAACTTCGTAATTCTACGTGCAATTTAAAGTCCATCAGAAACTTTTTTAAAAAAAAAAATTGTAGCAGAATAATGTGGTCTGTGAACCCGGTCTTTAGTTATTCTTCTGTCGTGTTTTCTACAACTTTTTTCGTCTCTGAAACGTCGGCGAAGAGCGCGTTTTATATTTTAATTGTAATCCATTAATTTATGTGTCGATCAGATTGTTATATGAAATTTTATCTGTAGGTCCTTTATTAAACTTAATATCAAAATTACCCATTTGATTACATCAGAACTTAGTGTTTAGTAAAAAAAAAAAAAGGATATCTTTGATCAAACAAACGACACAATTGTGAAGTCATTGAAATTAAGATAAAGTTATTTTCATGATATTTTATAATATCATCTTCTATAATATCTTACTTTAGAATCCAAGTTAATAGTTTAAATTTAAATGTTAACTTGAGTTCTGTGTGTGAACTTGAAATTTACAAGCAAATTTCAAAACTTTCTTTTTCAAGAAGTGAATGAGTTCTGGCCGGAATGTTTCTTGAACCTTAGTTGACATTAGATTTTTACTTAAGTAGCTCAGGTTATAAGTTAAATTACTTAAAAAAAGGTGTGTGGGTTGTTGTATCAAATAGCGATGCTTAATTTGTGTAGTAGAGGTCTACGCGGGCCGAGGACTATCTGATCCCTGCCCCGAGTTTATCTTCAAACACCATCCGTGAGCCCCACTCTATTTGAATACAGTATTATTAAATACAATTTCTTTTATTCCAATGAATGACAGTAATCTTTGAATGAATTGTCTAACATCTGAGGCTGTCAGATGCAAAGTTTTTAAGATTTTTTCCTCGAATTGCTTCTCGGAGGGGACAGTTAGGAAAATCCCCGAGAAAATCAAGATTTGTTTGCGGAACACTTGTCACTAGCAAACGCGAGAGAAATTACGAATAACATTTTTAATTGCGAAAAGTAAAATGGCCCGAAAAAGCCCGAAATGTTTGAACCAGGCCCAGGCCTTGGCCTGCTGTACGATTCGCTTGGCGTGTCTTATCGTAATCTTGACACTACAACGCCTCATAGTTTTTATGCGTTTTGTACGCGAATTATCTATCACGTTCGATCATGCATTTTTTGCGAAATCCTGTGTCAATTTGTAATGATCGTCTTGGAGGTGAGTATTTCTGTTACATCTCAATTACCTGCAGATATTTAAACATTAGCTCATTCGAAATGCTAGAAACAACAGAATAACCTAGTGAGTTTACGTAATTGTTTACACAAAGGGAGATGGTGTATTCCAAGAACTGGCTGGCACTTGTTTACAAGTTTCGGGCTTTCGTTTTGCGTTTGTTTGTCGATGTTATCTTCACGCTGTCGGCCACGGGAAATGTGTGGCGCTGCTAGCATGTCATGACGGCATCTGAACGCAACTACCCCGACAGTAAAGGGGATTTTTAGTTGTTAACAGTTGCATATCTGAGATGTTATTTCGGAACGGAGGAGTTAATGATTTAACAAAGACTGCAAGGCAGCAAATCCACTAATTTGTAATTCTGTTGATATTGTGTACACACACATAAATGTTCCTTTACCACGAAATCTTTTCATTGGCCTATTTAAAATCATATTTTTGTCACATTATATACAAAACGGACAGCTACATAATAAGCAGGTGTTACAAACTGTCTTTCTGACATTAATCTGTTCCTATTGAATTCCATAACTCTTATCTATCGATGTTATTTTAATTGAACAATATTCAGTAAAATAAAAGCCCTGAATTCTTGACGTCTGGCAATCCTGATTCGTACTTGGACATCCCGGGCTCAAATTTCGGCCCAGAAGATATTCGCTCTTTTCCTCATTCCCTCCAGGAGTTATATCTCGACTGCTCATTTCGACCTTCCATCCAATTTAATATTCATGAATCCCGTAATGGGTTTGGGCTATTGGAAGCCCCGTTGATAAACATAAATAAATACATTTCTTAACACACTAGTGTTTGAATCTTAATCTTGGCGATGGATGGATGTTGTGCTTCGTCGTGAGAGTTCTACGAGTGCCGAAACGTCGAATATGGGCCTTGACTTTGGATTATATGTAATATGTTTCCTCCTGTCTGAACTGGGTTGAGCGCTCAAGAACTACGTTTCTTTTTGAAACAGGCAAAGGTTAGTTCCTTCCGCCTGCCACCTGATAAGGTTTACTCCACATGCCCTGTGTTGTATTAAGAGGCAGGGCACCAGAGGCGAATCACCGATGGCAGTCGCCTTGTCGCCCGGCCGGGTCGCCACGATCGCCCGCGGCTCGCTTCGAGCGTCTCGCGGTCGTCTGCCTGCTAAAGGAAGGGCAATGCAGTTTTTGTTGCTTGGCAACGGAGGCCTAAAAATGATTATCATTTGTTTCCTACGCGCGCGTGTCCAAACGAACGATGTTCTGTTTTAATTCGGATCAGTGACTCATCCATCGCCCTGATGATTTAGACGGCAAGCTCCTCCGAAACGTCGGTTAACTTGTATCAGACTACACATCGCACAAGAACTCGACTTTTTGCTTTGTTAAATATTTTAACTTCGTTTAACTCAGTTCATCACATTTACCATTTCCATATAAAGGTGTTGGCTGTGTTTTTAATACGAATCTAAATTATAAGATAAAATTCATTTTATACTCTGATTAATCATATTGCGGTAGACCGAACAAGATAATATTTGTAGAAACAAATCTCTCTTTTATTGAATAAATATATGGATATAATTTAATCCTGTTTGTCGTGTGCAGGGATGAATGAAATCGATTATTCGCAAACGTAATCGATCAGTTGTAGGTGTTATTACTTTTTTTTTATGAAAACTATTACAACTGCAATTCAATCACTATGGCGTATAGTTGTGATGTCATACTCAAAATAAATTAACCATTGACCGTCGGTTTTAACAATCCTGAATTTTGCTCATAGAATGCAGTTCACGGACCAAACAACAAATATTTCGTTGAAAATAAAACCATTTGATCTATAAAATAGTGGAGTATAATAGCATTTTCTTTGCGGTACGTCCTGAGACGAGCGTCGGCTTGAAAGGGTTATTGCCATTTTAATAGGCGTGCAGAAATTTGCAAACCAACTTCGCTGTTGAATAAATATTATGGTCTAATTTTCGAATTTAAATTTTCGAAGTATAAATTTTGTCGTAATGAAAGTTTGTTGCGTCCCAGACGTTCCAACGAAGTTTTGAACAACAAACCCCTTTCTAAATACGATCTCGAGTATCATTCGCATTTGGTTAATAATTCAGTTCAATTCAATTCCGTAATGACAATGATGATAAACCGAACGGACGTGTTGAAGAAGACTTCATTACCGATTCTGTGGACATCGGTTTTTTTACACGGCTGTTGTTGAAACGCGCGGTGTTCTGAATTTGCAACACAATGGAGCTTTTCCTCCGTTCCCTTTGTACGAACGTGCTAATAGAAAGAGCATAACAAACCACTCGCTAATTTCTTTTCAATTGCTGTGTTTGCCGTGATCACTGTTACAATTGGCCTCGGTTCTTCCTGCCAGTTCTAATCCAAATAATGGAAAATTAGACTTGGTGAGTTGGGGGCCGGGGCGTGGGGGACAAAAGACGCTTCTATCTGAGAGTCAATAATGGTAATTCTGGTTTTGTGGCTGGCAGTATTAACAACATACTTCCTTGACTGAGAGTACACAGACAAAAGTACATAATACCTTGTACGGAGGGGTTTAAGCTGCTATATTAAGAAGTAGTGCCGGACCCCACCCCCTCCCGTCTGCTCACTTGGCACTGAGCTGGACAAATATTGATGCTTGGCAAAGAACTAGTGAGTGCGGAGCGCAAACCTTGTCTAGCTGTATTGCAAACCTTAAGGACATAAATCTGCAATCTGGGGAAAGTTCGCGAGACGTAATGAAGTGTGTGGTACGACGGATCGACGCAGAATCGCACGGAATCACCGATATCGAAGTTTTATCAATTTAATCCCCCCCAAAGTAATCCAATATTGCATAGACAATCAACGGTAAAGGCGGAAAGATGAGATGCTGGGGAAGTAGGAGTGGTAACTCTACGCACCACGTGCCTTTAACATTCATTAACTTTGCGTTTTGATCGCAGGCTCCATCTACGTGTTTGGTATAATTCTCACTGTAAACAGCGATTATTTCCTTAACCAGCGTTAACCAGTTGATCTGTGTAATGGTGAAGTGTGGTGTTTTCTTCGCGGTACGGACTGAATTCTTACGTAATATTTATACGAGCTTCGGCTTCAAAGGGTTAACCATTTGATCTTCGTAATGGTGAAGTCTGGTGTTTTCTTCGCGGTACGGATTGAATTCTTATATATTATTTAGGCGACCTAGAGAATGATTACCCTGCAAAGTCTAGACCCTGGTAATAAAACGGGTATTTGGCGAATTACAAAAATCTTAACAAATAACACCACCTGCAAAACCTCCTTGAAATTAAACGATAGATTTGCGGTTCACCCGTGACTAGAAAGTGAACCTCTTAGCAGACACTCTGCATGAAATTTTTACAACTAACATAAACTTAGACCGTGATTTCTCTGAACAGACTGAGAACACTTTTTTGGTAAGAAAAACTAATTTCAAAGAATTAGGCTGGATAATTCGCCATCTCAAATCGCGCAAAACGTTCCGAAACCATGTCAGGAAGCTAGCAAATAAATTTTACGCTAAAATTCAAGCAAGTGAGAACTCCCAAATTAGGCAATTAGGTCAATATGACCCCATTTATGATAAATACACGCGACCGCGGGCCCTACTAGGGGGCTGATCCTGAATATACTCTACTAATTGCAAGTATTTAAACAAATTAAAGTCCTTTTGGGGCTAATCTCTACTCATTTTAGCCAGCCGTTCATCGGAGGACGCTCCAGCGGAACTCCTGCCATGGAAAACCTGTGTCGAGATGGCCGGTCGCAGGACCTTCCAGGGGGCGCGCTGACTACTAGCCAGCGGTCCGGCAGACAAAAGAGGAATTTGTACGACCCCTAGGTTTCCCTAACTTGTGCCATGGGCTTTATTGATAAAGTCGTGTAATAATACAACATAAGATGATGAATGCAGGTCATCCGTGGTTCCGTGGTCTTCTTCAGCTGTTGGCTTGGTTTTCCTCTGTCTTCAAGCAAATGCTGAGATGGTTCCCAAGTTCCAAGTTGCCACTGCAAGCTTCTCATGCAGCCCTCCCGATTTAAGTTCATCAAAATTTACCCCCTTAAAGTCGTCCAAATTCCGCTCCGAAATCACTTAATAACCTCCAAATTAATAACTTCGGCATTGCCTAAAATACAGCTCAAAATTTCTGCCAATTATCGCACTAACGTCTTCACTCTTACTTTATCTTTAACAGAAGGACGAACGGGCATTGCCTGGGGACCTTCTACCTCCCACCAGAACTCGAAGTGTCTATTCTATTCTTTGCAAATTCTACTCTTCTACCGACCTAACAGCGACTGCCTTAAGCTGTCTACGCGTAACGTTACGCCAGAGAGGACTTTGTACCCGGAGAAAACAAATGTCTTAATTACTCACGCTTCAAGGTCTGCGAAACAAATGCATGTCACCATTTGTGTTCACAAACCTTCTTAAAATGTTACGCCAACAATTGGTTAATTGGATAATTTTTTCAGCAATTGTTATTCTGTTTGCCGAATTATAATATGGTAATAATGACAAATGAAACAAACAAAGCGAGCAAACATGGCGCGGTACGGTAAATATGTTTTGTTCGTTTGTACGTATTTGAATGCGAACGTTAATGAGTCGCTGGTGATAATTACACAGGGGGCCTGCCATATGCCACCACTCAGCTGGTTTTACTGTGCCTTCGGTGTGTGCAATAACTCAGGCGCCAAGGAACACTTTTCCTTCCTTGTGGGAGTTCCCACTTCGAGGCCCCACGAACCCGCGCCAGGTCTTCTTTCAAACTGTCCGTTGTGAAGTGTCGAGCATTTTTAGTGAGTCTCCCCTAGAAATCTATCTTTGTGATGAAAATTCCTGAGATGTGAGCGTCTGGAATTTCGAGTTCTGTCAGACTTAGTTAGTCACACATTGAGCGAGATGCACTTAAAAACAGAGTTAATGACGTCACTGGATGGATGTCGTTGGTTAGACGAGTATTTGTAGATTCACTAAGAGTTTAAGGGATACCTTCTCTAGTTCGACACAATTGAAGCCTCTCTCACGGTTTTGTTATGGATTTTGTAGCTACAGACAGCGTTCGGTGAGTTGAGGGGGAGTGTTTGTGTTGACGGTATGCATTATTCACGTGACACTTCTCAAACACTCGTGCTGTTTGATGGACAGTGAGAACCTGTCTGCCAACCACCTCAGCTCATTCTTTCGCGTCTCGGATGCACGAAAACTGTTTCTATACAACCAAGCAGGTTAACACAATGGAAACGTGTCTGACTTCCGTTCGACGCTAGGACACTTCTCTCTCTTAAGGACGTCCACAGCCCGAACTTCTTTTATCTGTCCTATAACCAATCAAATGACGTTAAGACAGTGCGTATCGTGGGCTCAAGAAGACTTTGTACAGATCTAATTTTCACCGTACATTACCATCTGTGATATTAACTGGTATAAATGAGTGACATTTATGTAAGATTTGAGGTTTTCACAGCGGCGAGTATGAAGATTTCTGTCTTCTGGGTTGTTGCGCTGTGTAGTCTGGTCGATGTTAACCAACGTTTCAGAGGTCATACTGCCTCCATCATCAGGGCGATGAGTATGAAGATTTCCGTCTTCTGGGTTGTTGCGCTGTGTAGTCTGGTCGAGGTTTACCAACGTTTCGGAGGTCATACTGCCTCCGTCATCAGGGCGATGAGTATGAAGATTTCCGTCTTCTGGGTTGTTGCGCTGTGTAGTCTGGTCGATGTT